TTGATGATTCATCGCTAAGTAGGGTGGTGTACACTTCATGTGTTGCATGTAAACATCGAAAAGTAGAAAAGTGATAAAATTTGAAGCAGCCAAGGTTGCTCAGAAGTTTGACGCTGGTCTCATTTTGACTCGATATCATGGTCACATAGAAACCATGGCTGGCTAAGGTTTACACTTGTTTTTTTTTGCAAAAAAAATTTTACGCTAAGAGAAAGCAGAAGTGGTGAAGTGGGATGAGTGAATCCGTCATAAGTAAGTGAAAGCACTAAGCTCGGAAAGAAACCTGATGGGGAAGGCTTATACAAATTGAAAGGCTTGAGGGGAGATGAAGCAGTCGTGCTTCCTTTTTCGAATCTAGGGCGATGGTGCGGTTAGGAAATAAAAAGACAAGTACGGAGAAGGAAAGCTCAGGAGTGCAATGTGGTCAAAATGATGATACGGCCAGTTTCAGACGAACAGGTCCATTTATATTGGAATTTGCATGACTTACGTTATTATTGCTGTTAACCTCAACATAAGACTGCTTCGTGAATGGCATAAATTATCGAATCTTGGAGATATATCGAGGCATGGTCGTCACGAGAAAGTAAGTTTTCTTCTTTACGTTCCACATATGTGAATGTTCGCTGGTGTGCAAAACTTAAGAAGCGAGATAGATAAAGTTACCTAACTTATCGATAGCTTTGTGGACCTTTTGGCGGTTCCTGTCATTGGCATCATATACCTGTATTAGAGTAGTTCTCTCTGTGAGTGGTTAGGTTTTATAGAGCTGTGTTACTCGGCAGAAACACGTCACTAAAAATTTAGGTTCGTCCTTAAGTTTTGCACACCAGTGTACTTAGGTGGGCGCAGGTGTCGTGCTCCGTTATGCACGAATAGCGAGTGCTGTTGGCGCTGCCATACTCCATCAGCTCTAAGTGTGGCGCATAGAACAGTTGAAAGTTTGCTCTAGGCATTCCTTCAGCGTGAAAAGTGCAAAACAGGTAGGCGTGAGCCCTCTTTTTTGTCACTGTCGTTGCGCACCTCTACGACGAGCGAATGCGTGAAGAGTGCGCAAGGTGGATGGGAGAAACCCGTCACCTGACGCCATTCCAATCACAAGCACGATTATCGCTAGAAATCACGAAGGCTCAAGTGGGACTGCACTATTTCTTGACTTTAGTTTCCTTCTGGAACGGCCTCGTCGTGCCGTTTCCTGGGACGATAAATTGGTTTCTTGATAGCAATACCATCGCCTAGTCACTCAGACAATGAGTTCTAATCAAGTGCAACCCTGTTCTAGTTGAACGAGGGGTTCGTTTTTACACACGTAGAAAGGGAAGGGTAACTGTTTCTTGCCCGTTACTTCTTCACGTCTGATCATGAGCGCAAGGTTGCTTAGTATGTGTACTTCAAATTATATTGGATCGCAGCTTCAGACCTTTGCTGCCACAATAATAACACAACTAGGCGATAGGCCTCCTCAGAAGCTCTTAATAGTGAGAGGAGTAAAGCTTCAATGTCTCCGCTACTTATCACTACAGAACAGTGGGTGTATCATACACAGCTGAGGATGCTGGTGTAAGAGGCTCCAAATCTTTTTAAACAAACAGAACGAAAGTGGTAGTAATTCCATGTGAGCTCGAGAACTTCTCAGAATTCTGTATATTCGGCCGGAGTGGGAAGGTTTTTAATAGAAAGTTATACAGTGGCGTCAACAACTTTTTGAAAGTCAAAATTTTGTAGCTTTTTGATAAGAAATACGGAATTGTGATACAACCAAAATAGAGAAAAGTTTCGGGTGGTGATTCAATAAACTGAATCAAATTCAAATCTTTCCAGCAGTGACAGATTTTCATCGCAACAAGACCAGTGGAGTCATAACCTCTTGAAGAAAGAAAAGTTCCCATTCCTACACGGCGCATGAAACGGAACTGAACTGGTTTATTTTAGGTTCTTATCAGCGTTCAAGTATGATGGCTATTAAAAGATTTTATGCCAATTTGTGTCACACTTTTTTCACCTTTTTTTCAATCAAAGTCTATTTGTAAGGGTTACTGACGGTCCTAATCATGAATATGGTACTAATTATTCATGCTAACTCCATTTTGCAAATCAAAAAATTTGTCACCACGAGGAATCGAACTAGGGACCCCCTTTTCTGGTATTCAGAGGGCCGTTCAGGAAAAATCATGGTTCTGTGGTTCCCACATGTGCCCCAATGTCATGCAAGAAACCATTTTGAAAAAGCTTGGCACACCCTGAACGACCTCCTTGTTAGGATGCTTCTCAGCTACGTTGTGCTGACCGGAGTGAAGGGTAATCGAAAGGGACCAGAAGAGTACGCTAAGCGAAACCTCCAATCGTAAGTCCGAATCCTCATTTCCTTGCTGCTATTGCACGGCATTGAGGTTTTGTGTAATTGTGTTTCTCTCATAATTAGTACTTCATGGTGAAGCAGTGCCACACTGTTCCATCATTCAAAAGCACACAGAAAATGTTATGCTTGTCGCTAATTGGCTCCAAAACTCGCACGTAAATGAACTGGAATTTCACTGACGGCGCAGTCAAATCCCACGCAAATTTTATGTGGTTCAGTGGGCTCTACTCAATGACGCTCTTAAGTTCTACATTATCTACATCTCGAATCAATTCGATGTTTTCATCATTAAGATCTTTTAACCAAGTTTCGAGAACAAAGAAAGTTCGGCTGAGTTTGAGAATCGCTGTTGAGTGTCTTGTGCACTTTATAAAGAGATTCTGAGGTTGTGCCACATGCGCCCACGCACAGAGTTCTGTACCAACACCTTTGAACTGAAACTTGAGGAAAATTCATTATGGACGGTCTTTCCGAATGCTCGATCATTGTTAGTGATTATGCTTCAGCATAGAAACGATTTCACGTGGTCGACATTTTTTATCGAATAACACCAACAGTGCCGCTGTGCCCAAAATGAGACCGTAGGCGTCCTCGTTTCCATTTGTTTTTGGAGCGCAATGTTACAGCGGTCATCTATGCAGCTACACCCTACCGATTGCCGTCGGCAAAATGTCGTTACTTGATTTCACCATGATCTCATTATCAGAAGCGGCTCACCCACCTCGCACCAAAAAAGCTGAGTGTCTCTTGATGTTCCCATTTTTTGCACCTTCGCATACTTTGACACCTTTGCTTTGCAATTTCGGTTTAAGGCAAGCCGACATGCCTAGGTTTCAAGGTGAGGAAGCTTGGAGTCTACTGAGAAAGTGCCGCAACTACTTATGCCATAAGATAAATCCTGACTTGGCCCATGAGAGGAAGGACGTTCTGAAAAACTTGAAATATTATAATGCAGTAATTGAAGCTCTTTACTTTTTTGCTTCTCTACGTTTGGCTCTCTCATGTATGTCTCTCAAGCAGATAGACCAATAATATTAGTTTCACATGCGATAGAAATGAGTTGTCTTCACTGAGTGTTTTTACCGCTTTCATAGGAGAAGGAGCAGATGCAAGAGGATTTATATTCAAATGATTCAAAACTTTGTACTCTGAGTGTGGTACCACTACGATATAGTTGATCTCAGCCACGCGTGCTCTCCCTCAGGTGTAAAAAAGGAACAAAAAAAATAAAAATTATCGGGTCGTCTTCTGGTCTGGTCGAACAGTAATGCAAGAAAGCAGACACAGACATGTTTGCTCATTATGGTGCGCGATGCCCTCGTACCAGCGTTTTTTTCCCATCCCACCTTCTTCAACGTGTTATCTCTCTTAGCCTGCAGTGAATGCATTGAGGGTTGGCGAAGCAAATGTAGTCTTCAAGAACGTCGCCTCATAAAGCGCAATGACCTCCTGCTGGTTTCTATCAGATGCTTTTTTGCCTCTGACGCGATTAAATCTATGATCAATTCAACTAGCGGAAAGTGGTCTCAAATAACGGTTAACTCGCTAATGTTTTTTGTACCGAGTACAGGTTACTAATACATCTGAACCACGTCGCGTAGGTAGACCCTAACACTAACATTTCGAACCTAATATTCTTTTTCAGGTAAACATAATATCTTGGTGAGCATACCTCCGGCTCAAAGTAGTTCATCGGGTTTGCTGTTTTTCTGGGTTTCATAATTTGCCCTCACATCGAACAATTTCCAGCGCTGTATTTGTCATGGTGTTTGAGTTCGCAGTCATGGCCGCTTTTCTACGCAACAACAGATTGTAATGTGGTTGAATTCAGGGTCTACTGTTGTATATTGTGTTAGTGTTTGTATTTACCATGCTTATGTGCTCGCAACAAATCACAAGAGGAATCGCTGTCTTCACAAACAACACTAGTCTGAATTCCTGGGCATTAAATCAAGTGAGTCAATTTCTATTATTTCAGATTTCCACCTATTGTGCCATTCAAGTTCTTGCAGTCCGAATTACCCGTTCTTTTCGTAAGCGACGTTCACAAACACCAATCATCTGCCTCGTAATAGTGTTACATAAGCGAAATGAATACATTGGAATGACATCCAGGATCAACCGCCGTAAATAGAAGCAAACGATGGTGGTCGTATTTCGCCCACAAAGGGGGGGGTCGATCGCAGAAAGACGCGGGGGCTGCCATGTGGCTTCAAAAGTGCACAGTTGTGCGCAAGATGTCACTTTCATGTTCTTTCAGAGCGTCCTGCAGCAAATTGACAGCTGTGCGAGAGTCCATCACAGAACATGAAGCGAGCCCCATGGTGTCCAAGAGATAATCTGTAGCAGCACATTCATGGAGTAATGAAACAAGAGTCCCATCATTGAAAAATACAATGCAATTCATCACGATACTAATAGATTCTTTCAGCATGAAAATTGAGGACAATTCACAATGACTAGTTTGCGACAGACAAATCAGGTGACGAACACCCCACACAGGTTGCAAGGCGCAACCCGAGCGGTGTTTTTCTCAATAGTAAAGCGACATATGCAGACAAACTTCCTAAATGAGAAATTCGACCCTGCTTTCAAATTAAACTCTAACGGAACAAAGTGTAAGGCGAAAGTATGCTAATTGAAATTCTAGGAGGGCATCTTTAAAGGAAAATGGATGGAGGAATAGAGAGAATTTTTTTAGGGAAAATTCCAGCATCTATTATAGGAAGTACCTTAGCATAGAGATTTTTCTAGCACTTTCTTACCGCTTTTCTCACATCAACTCATTGAGGTAGTTTTATGCGCCTTTTGAATTGCAGCAGTCGTCCAGTCGTCTGGATTCCCACTAAAATGGCTTGAAATAAACATCACCACGTGACAAAAAACGGAACAACGAACTGTTTTTATGAGGAGAGGGCTGCATTGTAACTTGCGAAGGTACCTGATTTGAAAGCCTCTAATCTTCTAGCTCATTAACTACCATTGATTCATCTGCAAAGAACGTTGATTTTCTGAGAAAGTTATGACGGTTTGGCACTTTCGAAAACTAGGGCCGCGTGTACCCACCGCGCTTTCTCAAAACACAGGCCACGATGCCCCAAAAAACGAGCAACGTGACGGACATTTTGAGAGAGGGATTGTTAAAAATAGTGAAAGTTCTCCATCTTCTAGTTTCTAATTAGCCTTGAATATCTGCAAAATGTTGACTATGAAGAAAGTTATGGATGTTTGAATGTCGAAAACTCGCGTGTGCACAAAAAACGGAACAACGGGACGATTTTTTGAAATATTGAACATCGCAACATTTCAAATACTTTTCAGGAAAGAAAACTATTTTAATTTTCAAAATTTTGGTGTCCGGTTTCATGAAAACGCCTACGAACGAAGATATGAGCTTTCAAATGAAGGACGTCCGTAACTATTGGAGATTTAGTTTTTCCAGCTTATACAAAAAGAAGAGTTGGACGTTCGCGAAAATCTATCGGCCAGTATAGAAACCTGAATTACAAAAAATCTTATGAAGCTGAGTAAAACCTAACTAAGTCAACGCCGGTAAAACTTATAAATGTCTCTTTCCTGCATTCTCTCCGCGTCCCAAGCGAATAGAAAACGCGCTCCACGCCAGCTCGCGCCGCGGTAATGGCGCGAATTTCCTAAAGTTCGAATTTCATTACTCGGTTTCTTGCCTTCTTTATTTTGGTTAGGAAATTTTCGTCATTTTTTTTTTGTTAGGGAATCCTTCCGTAGTGCTTTAGAGGCGCACAAAAAGGCTTCCAAAGCATTTTAAGGAAGTTTCCTGCGCAATGTGCGGCGGGCGGGGGGGCGAGTCACCCTGCCGCGGTCTACTCGCGAAGCCACTGTAAACTTCAGTACACGTTCCAAGGCTCTCACGTATGTCTCCGTGACTGTCCCACCCGATCCCTCCTGAATTTGTTTACATTCCCTCCTGCTCACTAATTTCCTTTGATGGTCGAACATCTCAGATTCTCCCATGTCATAGTCGCCTGCCCTCTTTCCAAAAACCCCCCTAGTAGAGTGGGGTCCGTACTGACCATGGCCCCGTCGAAATCGTGAAAATTTTTGAATTTGTGCAACGCAGGTGACACTGTCTCTACCTGCCGTCCGAATTTCTCCTTCGACTAACCTTTTTGAAGTAAGCACAGAGTTTAATTTTTGTTTGTATGATGAAGCCCTACTGATCAGTTCATTGTCTTTTCTAAAGTTTATACTTTCATGCATTCCAATTTATTTGGTGGATCGTGGTTTCTGTATAAGGTCATTTTTCCTTATTTTACTCGGCCAATGAGGCTTTTCCTGTGTGACTGCATTTATTGCACATATGAGATACCCCTGTTGAACACATCTTTCCAGTTTAGTTATTACGGATGTCATGGTCAGTATACCACCAGTGTCTCTTTTATTACTGTCTTCGGAACTTCGCCGCGATATACTGAACTTTTTTCGATGTCGGCGACAGCGAACTTCATCGTCTGTATCTGCTTTTGTCATTCAGAAATCTGCCTTGAGCATTATCTTAGCAGTATATCTTAACAAACCGCGATTGGCACGACCTCAAATCATTTTTTCAGCGTGGCAAACATTTCTGAGAAAACATGCTTAATTAGGAATTCTGCGATAAACAAGCGTTAGTTTCTTTAGTTTGAATGATAAATGCAAAAAAAAATGGAAAGGCAGACCATGCCTCACTTATTAATGACTTCGATTTTTGATATGGAATATAATACAACAATACAATCGAATACTGACTAGCCCTCAAATCCCACCGATTTCAAATACATATCATGACTAACCCTGTTTGTGAACCTGGATGCTGAAAAGTAGAACATGCACACGATCTATGCTAACTATGATCACTCAGCTTAGAACTGACTATTCTTCATCTGGTCGTGTTGTTATTAATTGCTTGTGAATTGCACTCCGTTATCCCGACATTTATAAAATATACAAGGTATATGGCTGCTGAACAGTGAATAGACGAGCATTAATAAATAAAACTCCAAAGAAAATTCTCATAACACCAATCAGGCCTGTAACAAGAATAACATGGTGTACAACTAATACATGGTGCGAGAGTTCACTGAACTTGAACCGTAATTTCTTGAATATATGCTCATCTTCAGACCTTGTATTCAGACTGCACAGCCAACTGAGGTTTTTCTCGTTTCTCCAAAGGATCTATCTCTGTGCACGGAGACTTAACTACGCGGATCTTGGCAACAGCATCATCCTCCTATATTTTTGTTTTTGCACCGTTCCGTAATTACTATTGCTGTCCTGAGCCAACGCAAACTATTTCCGCACATATTGCCTGAATATTCGACAACCAATTAATCTCACTGCCACCTATCGCCCGCACTGATAGACCTTAGGGCCTCGGTTAATGCAAGGGCGCAGCAAAATATCGGCGACGCAAGCGCTGGGGTCTGATGAACATGAATAACTAAGAAGACTTATAAAAATTCGAATCACCTCATCGAGATGAACGCAAACATAATGAATATACTTCGGTGGAAGTTCAGTTAAAGACTCCTAACTTTATTTTATTGGGGCATGTGATGATACGCCACCTCAGAACATTTACCTTCGTTTAACTCTGCGGAATAGACCGCTGAAAGCATTTTGTTTGAGGTAGTGCAAGAGAACTACGTGCCTACAGCATGGTCAAAATCTGACGGGTCGCGGCAATTCATGTTTGGCCTTGAAAATCGATATGAGGCCCTACTGGACGAGCAAACTTCGAAATACTATTTGTCTCTAATTTGTCAAAACATGACAGGGTTGTCATAGAATCTGTCACCTTTTGCGCTCACCCCTGTTTTCAGGGGAGGTATATGAGTGCACCGGTGCGACCTTTTTTGAATATCGCTTGCGTTCTTGCAGACTTCAGCAGGACTGCGTTGTTGAATCTTTCGACTTTGCTGCACTTTACACCAAAGTCAGCACAGCCTTGCAAACAGTTTAGAAAGGAGGAAACAAGAAGTATGGAATCGGGTTGGACAAAGCGCAAATAATGTTTCCTATCAAAGAAAACCCAATTGCAAAAGTAAGTGATCTGGAAGATATTTTCCGCAAATCAGAGGGGACAATGGGAAATTGGAAATAATGGGACAACGGCTAGCACCAGCTCGTCGTTTGCTTCAGGGCTAGAACTGAAATACTGGTGCTAGCACATTTACCCATCATGTGCTGTCGATGATACATCGGTGACTGCTGTGTTGTTGCATCAACCCAGTCAGACGTTGTTTTGCATCTTGACAATCAAACGCGCACATCGACGGGAAGACACGTGAATGCTGGGCCAAGCTGTACACTCATATACGATTATCCAATGGGATGTACAATGTGAAATGGTATAGGAAAGAAAACTCCAAGAATATCATCATTAACGCGTCGGTACACCCCAGAGCTGTCCGTGCGTTACGTAACATAAGAAACTGCCACGGGATATGCACCGGCGATGAGAAGCGAGAAATATCCAGAAATATCGAGAAATATCCAGCTCATCAAATAGCTAATATCAAGTAGTACACAGCGCTGCAACGTGAACGACGGAACACTTCAAGTCTTCTCCCATACATTGCTGGATTTAAATTGTTTCTGCAACTACTTTTTATATCAGATCGTTTGAGCACAGGCATTGTAGTAATGCACCAAAAGAGCCGATCTGACTAATGACGTTCTTTTAGTTAACACACAAGGCCGATGTCAGACTTTGCGAATCGCGCGATTACTAGCGATTCGCGCGATTCGCTAGCGTCCGCGGTCGCGTTGCGGTACCAGCCAATTGAGTGATTCACTGGCCGCGACGCGACCGCAGACGCTAGCGAATCGCGCGATTCGCAAAGTCTGACATCGGCCCAAGAGAGAACGTCAAACACCAGCTAGTCAGAATCGCCTTTACGACCGAATCTGCGTCGTGGAAAATTGCGTAATCTGCCCGTATGGAAAAGTCGGAGACTGTGCACAGAGATCTGTGGTTTACCAGCTTCAGTGTTTAACATGTATGCTTTGTACATTGGAGAAACTGGCAGACAATTAGGCGTACGAGTGAAAGAACATCTGGCTAGCAAACGAAGAGAAAATTTGGTTGCACCGCTCGGTAAACACAGAAGGGAAAGTCATGCTGGTTGTGATTTCGACGTCAAATGTACGATACTGGCCTACGAAAATGACATCGGTGCTAGGAAAACTCTCGAAGCTTTCTGGATAAACTTCGTAATCCATATATGAATAACAGGAATGAATGCATCTCCATAACCGATGATTTTTGTATATGTATTTCTTGTATATTCCATTATGTGAGCTCTGATTAAGAGGGCGTGACAAACTGCACGTACGCAGTATGGCGGAATCGGTCGATCTCATTTTCTGCTTTATTTCGGCATGTGGCAGATTCCAGGAGTAGCGTTGGAGTTAAGGTGAGTGACCACTGTTGAATTCGATCCTAGTTGAACCTTTTCCTTGACTACTCAAGAGCAAGTCAGCGTTACATGATAAGTTTCGTTTGAAGAACTTTCGAAATGCTTCCTTCAGCCCTTGAAGACGACGAACTAGTCGAAATCGTCGGCTCAATAAATTCTTCACCATAAAAAACCTGGGCGCAGAGATATCTCCTGCCATCTGACCAAGGGTTCGAGAAAGGCAAACTCGGTCACGCATGGTTTCGAGCCCCACCAACAGAACATTCCAAGTTGAAAAGACAGGCCTGTCCCAACTGGAAGGGGTCCTCCCCTGATGCTTTTTGAACATCGCAACTATCTAGTCTGTTGGATGGCATAAGAATATATGCCGACAGTGTCGAAATTAGCAAAGCATCCGAGACAAGGTGATGGATCGGTGCTCCAGAACACCGTTGTCTAGTGTGCCTATTGTGCAAGGTGTCTTTGCTCGTAGCTCCACACAAAACGAAAAGCATGTGAACCTCAATTCTGACTACTACTTGTCCATGAACTTGTACACTAACTTGATTATATCGCTGTTGCTCCTGTCAGCTATGCAATGAGTCTCCTTTTTTTGCAGGAATAATTCAAGACTTTTTCTAAGATATCAGGAAATGTCGTGAATCAGCCCTTATGTAGAACATGCTTGTATTCGAATGTTCCTGACTATAGGCAGCTTACTACCGACGTATAAGAATCATGTACGTCCCTTGGTTGAAGCTGGCACTACGACTTTAGAACTTAGAGCAAGAAACAGGTAATGCAATCTCGCAACCTTTGATAACGGTGACTGATAAATGACGTCTGCATGGTTCATGAGTGTGAGAGAGTGAAAGGCAATATACAGTGCGCGTCAATTGCTTATGCCACCCCCTGATTTTTTCAGTTTTCTGACTTATTTGGAAATTTCGTAAATCGGCATAGCAACCATCGTTTTCGGCGTGTCGGAAAACTAAGAATGGTGTTGTTTGATTTTGGTTAACGCGTGGATTTGAATTGCTCTGTTCTTTTGAAGAAAATGGGCCGCGTCAATTGCTTATGCCATCCTAAAATTTCTTTGGAATTTCTCATTTCTTTAATGATATCCAGCTACGGCGTGGATGTATTAGGTTGGAAAGAAAGTTCTGCAACACTCTTTCTAAAATTTTCTTTTTTTCTGAAAAATTCATAGGTAACATTTATGACTAACAAATGGTAGAGCATTCTCGAGGCTTCAATCCACGAGGTGGATATAAGTGCTGCAGTCAGTAGTTATCCAAGAAAATTCAAAAAACCTCGACCACTAGTAAATCCATACTCCGAGTCACTGTCTAGTACAAATGTCTCCATAACTATGGATTCGTGTCAACGACCAACACTATCTGCAATAGCTTCAATAGGCATGCCGTTCACCGCTACAGCGTGTTTCACCTTTACCAGCGCTTTCGATCTTTTGATATTTTTATAAGAAGCCAGCAGCGTCCCGCACACTCCATTACAGGTAGGGCTCTTACGGAAGCTCCACTACAAATTCTTCGTTATGGGCACCATTGTGTAGGTAGAGGTCTAGGCTGCGAACTCCAGAAGCTGGCCGAGGCAGCTCGTCAAGAGCCCTCGTACCGCGACAATATTCATTTCTTTCATGACATTGCGAATCACCATGATCCGAAATGAGCCCGGTAAGAAATTCTGGAGTTGCGGCAAGATTTCTTACCTCTCTTAGCGTATTCCCCTGGTCGAGCTATAAATGACTGCCACCTATCCTGGACCTTAAATCATCATCTTGATGACGAAATAATTAGACGATCAACTCCAACTTGAGGTCGCCTCCTTTCTCGACCCGCACTCCGCTGGGTTTTGGCAAAGGAGCATCAAGAAATTTTCTGAGCGTTGAAGACAAGTGGTGGACACTCATGGTAGATATAAGACCGGTCAGGAGTTGTAACCAAAAAAGATAAAATTAAAATCAAAAATTTGAAAAAGTGTTGCAGGACTTTCTTTCCAACCTAATAAATAAACCGAAATAACCACTTTATAGCAACAAATGTGGAGCATTATATAATTAATGAATTCGGGATATTAGCCATTATACTGGACGGTAGCAGCATGAAAATGCTTTATCAGGGAAAGCGCTGTGTGCCCATTTGAGCAATCGCTCTTGCTGCTTATTGTGGAGGTCATCAAAGAGTGTATACAGGCAAAATTGGAGAATTTGACATGCTCAAGTAGCCCTTAAACTCAAATTTTTGGCGCATTAGATCCGTGGATCAACTTTGTTTGTGGTCTCAGCTCCCGCGAAGCTCGAAGCGTTCACGCTCAGAAAGTCTCTGCTCAGAGAGAACATGACTCGTACCTACTATCCGTCTGGTACCCATCACTGAACTCGATCGAAGTTTTCTTATCAAGGCGATGCAATGATGGCCCATGCCACCACTTCGGTGTCCCGTTCAAGTTACAACTGGCCCATGTCATCATTTTCGCTCGCTCGGTACGAAAATTTTTCCAGAGAGAATCCGACAAAGTTCGGCGATGGGTACTACGCGGATTGTGAGTGCAACTCATATTCTCTCTGAACAGAGGTTTGTGAGCGTGAGCGCTTCGAGCTTCGCGGAAGTCGAGACCAGGGTCAACCCTATCGTTGTTACTCTTCGGAAATTTTTTACGACCCCCCCTTCATGGGTGATTTGATACGACCCCCCCTTGTATGTAACACTTGTGTAGAGACAGTGTTGCCATCAATATTTATTGCTACGTAAGTCCCTTTGGCCTCCTGACGGTGGAGCGCATTTGCTCACGGTGAAGAGGCGTCGAACGGGGAGTGTGAAAATTCGAGGAGTTTTTCTTTTTTACATTTCAGGTAGTTCGGAAGATTCAGGTGGATTTTGGATCGATGTGGCTCCTCCTTCCTAACGAGTGCTCATTTGTTCTCAAACACTTCGGAATGAATAAGTTATTAGGCAAAAAATAAAATTGCAACACGATTTTTACACTCCTCTTTCTAGGGCTATAACTTCCTTCATATTCGAGCTTCTGCGCCGAAGTGATTTGATTTGAGAAATTCAAATTATTTTCTGTCCAATATGAGTTGGAATGGTGATGTTTCTTTATGCGATGACGACTCCAAACATCACCATGGGTAAAAATTCTTCGAAAGTTAATTTAATAAAAATTTAGTACGTTGTTACTTTTTTCTGTGCAAAGGCGACTTTTTGACCTTCAAACGATCATAACTTCCTTCAAAGTCATTCATTTGGGAAGCTGAACACGGTATAATAAACTACAGGTTTCAAGCTTTCTAACGAGCACCCAAGCGTTCCTGAAAGATCAGCAGTTCAAAAATTAGCCCGTTGTTACTTTTTATTTTGAGGGGTATTCTTCAAGCCATTTTCTCGAAAACGCGAGTTTTCTTAGGTTTCACTGCCCGTAACTTCTTGGAAGACCAATTTTATGTTTAATTTAGGATGTGCTAGAAAGCTTCGAGCATGCGCTTGCACTACATCCCTTGCCTTGGTGCGCGCCACGCCTCGGGCGCCCTTCTAATTCGCTGATTCATTTGAAAGCTCATTTAGAGGGAAGCGTGGTTTATAGATGCTCTAGTATCAGTCATCTTACGAAAACGTAACGTGCTGGCTATTATCCGATATTACCAAGAATCCCACTGTCGGCCACCGAGAGGGTACGACCCCCCTCCAAGCTCAACTGAGTACGACCCCCCCCGTTGTTACTCGTAACAACGTAGGGTTGACCCTGGTCGAGACCACAAATAAAGTTGACCACAGATTCCCACAATTTAAATTCTCGCGTTAACCAAAATCTAACGGCACTATTCTTAGTTTTCGACACGCCGAAAAAGATGGTTGCTTGCCAAATTGCAAAATTTCCAAAACAAACCAGAAAACGGAAAAACTCAGGGGTGTGGCACAAGCAATTGACGCGCACTGTAGTGTTCCAGCCTTTGTTGCCCCATAAAACTAAGCGATCATTTACCAGAAGGCGAGAAAAGATACTGGCGGCTAGTTCTAGGATTAATACAAAGATGTAGACGTTGGCGCAAGCGTCTTTTAGATTTTCAACGTAAAAAGTATCCCTATAGCTGCAGCATCAGGAGCAGTGGAGCTGCTATTTTATGTAGCCTCTTGTTTACTTGAGTTATAGCTCCTTTTTGTAGCATGAATTAGTTTTGTAGCATTTGGAAAATTTCTTTCGCTAGTTCCGTGTTGAGGCTGTAGTATGCTTCAATTTCTTTTTATTGCGGCATCACTGCATCACAAAATAAGTATGAGCTTTATTATCAGTCACCACAAAATCCTCAGACTTGTTTATAGTTCCGTTTTGATATGCGCTTTTGAGAGCTCTGCGGCTGAGATGTCGCAGAGGCCATGACCATATGCTGAACGAGTGGTATTTTCGTTGTGAAGGCCATGTTTTTCTGACTAGGGATTATGGTGGTTTGAAGTGGCTCTGTGATTGGTGGTGGTGTGTAATACTTGATACTTTCGGCACCGTCTTGGCGCGTGTTCCTTATTTGTTAAAATACAGTGAAAAGTTGCAAAGTTCTCCTCGTGATATGTGGTAGGACAGCGGAAAAAGGCAAATTCACAAGGTCGGACCTGCTCTCAAATTCGAGCTTCATTTCTATACCGGAATTGTCGAGTGGCAGTAAATGAAAGTACTCCTGATGTTTTCTACGCCCACCATGGCAATGGCTGTGTGCAAGAATGATGTTTTCACTAAAAAACAATTTTGACTGCGTAACCTCTTTCACTGGTCATTGAAAACGTAAACGTCTAGGATACAATAATTCATCCGGTCGCAAGGGGGATTCTAGTTTTCGATCGGAGTCACCTTAGTGGTCAAAAGCTGATAAACCTCTAGGCGTAATTTACAATGGATTTACCAATAGTGGTTAGCAAAGAAGAGGGCTACGACCGAAGTTGTTAATGTTACTGCATTGCAATTGGCGACAGACCCTTTCTCTGACCGCTTCCAAGTAGGCTAGAAATTCGCTCTTAGCATCGAGTATTTGAACGAAAACATCATCTTCGTTCAAAGTATGAGGCGCAATTGAACGGAAGTGCGACGTACGCTTGACGCGTGCGTTGCACTTTTGTTCAATTCTCAGGGCCATTTGCACAAGCAAAGGTTCTCCATATGAGTGTGATGCTACGTTTCCATGAAACATTACGATTTCGAACATTTCCAGTTTTCGAGCGAAACTGGGTTTAATTTCTCAGGTGTGCCGAAGAAACTTTTTGCCACGTACTCATCACTGAATGTTCCAATTCTGTCAGAGCTCCTTGCGAGCAGCAATTTCCTGCAAGGTCAGGTTCTCTAACAGCGCTAAAAGTGGTTCCAAATGTATCCTTTTTTATTTTCATTTTATTTCTTCGGTTGAGAGCACTCCTAGGAACCACAAGAAACATCGTTCACCAATGATGCAAAAACTGGACCTTGCAGACAAGGGGCGAGCATGGTAGCCGCTGGGCTACAAACTCCACATGCAAGCGAATCCGATTGTATGATCTCGTTCTCGAGAATCCTCCGCACACCCTACAACCTCTTTTTGACGTATTCTGCAAAAGAACCCCTTCGCAATTTTGCTAGCGCCATCGTGTTGCAGATAAGGAAGGCACATGTCAAATCGACCTTTGAAGGCCGAAATCATAAATATGCCATTGAAATGACCCATCGCTTTTTCCAAAAGAGACGGCTCAACATCTTCAGCCACAATTTCCAAATCCAGCAAAAGGGATTGAAGACTCATACTTCCAAGTGAAGGATCTACTAGACGTGTTCCCTTGTTCATATGATCTAGTTTCCTCTTCAAATGATCAACACTACTGCTTTTGTTGTTATGCGTCAGCCCTTCGTACTCTTTTTATCTGAATAATAGGCAGCTGAGACGAACATCCGTAAATATCCCCTTTCGCAGAATACTTGCATCAAATTATGCCTTACCCAGCCAATCAATCTATCCCATACTGATTCACTTCTGGTTTTGTTCAACGAGATTCCTGACTAGAGCAGAATACGTTGCTCCTCCATTTGATCTCACATCTTTCGATCACATTATGAAGTTGTTTTGCTCAAAAAATGTATAAAGAATCTGCGAAAATATTTGCTTAGACGAAAAATAGGGTATTGTACTGCTAAAACCGGAATTACCGGTCTACGTCCTGCGTGAGGATGATCAACCGTGTAAAGGAGGCGGGTGAAAGCGCAGAGATACCGCCCACACAGCACGCACTGCTTTCACGAGCTGAAGTAGGTAGAACCCTGAATGCCAACCTTCCTGGCGTATTTTTAAAGTAGCCTTAGCGAGAACATCACAGACTCCCTCTTAGTTACAGCTCAATGCTATCTATCGAAAGGACTGGTTCCACGTGGATTCATTGTGGGGTGTGTTTTAACAGTGAGTATTTAGTTGCGCAATGAAAAGCCGAGCAATCTAGCGTGAACAACTATAGATCAGAGTACTCGCTCCTTCTAAGAAGCCACGGCAGGGAGATCTGGACTATAATGGGTCTGTCTTGCACAATACAAAAAAAGCTCCCCAAAGGACCGCTTTCTATCGTAGTGTTGGGGGTGGGGAGCCTCAACTCCTCCGTTACCACCCTACAGAACGCGTTTATTCTATTTTCAGTCACTGGGGAGTGTGGAAATAGCAAATAAGTTTTTGAGCTCCATTTTTATATTGAAGCAATTGTGGCACATCTGTATCGCTTCCCCTTCCACCAGTTGCCAATGGGTCATGTTTTAAACATTATCAAAAAATATTAGTTTTTAGCGCTGAAGTGCTTTGTGTGTTCTATACTCTGAGTTCTCGAATTTCTGACACGACCAGTGTTGATTACTTCGGTGGAGAAAAAACGAACCCAGTGAACGGTGAGTCTTGTTATCTACCAGGTAAGAACAGGAGATAGCTACTCTTCAGTTTCAGCCAAATGAACAGCGTTCCACAAACTGCGCTGGAGCTTTTGCTTGCCCTCTTCTATGTATTTATTATGATCGTCGTTGTCACATCTAGAATGAAAACATTCAAAAACGCGTTCTTCTTAATGTTCGTGGCTACAGGTACGAGTTTACTACGCTATTTTCTGCTGCTGCAAAAGTACGTAGAAAATGAGAACTATTCTCCACCACTAACCATAAATGTGAAACATATTGATGCTCACAACTCACAAACCAAATTGTGAAACTGAGATATCTTAGAACCGAGAAACTGCCCGATGTTATGTTGGCCATGATTCATGTGGAATACATAGAGTCTCTCCAATACTGGTGCATCTCTTACTAATGTGAGCGCCTAATGCCAAGTAGGTCTGGATTGAATGGTAATGAACAAAAATACCACAAATATTTTTTATAAATGTACGAATAAGCAGTACCCCACTAACTCGATGTAGTCCTCAATAGCCGCGATTGAAGATGGAACCCCGTTGTTGATGAGCCAAAGATGAGTGGTCCTTTCTTGCGACTAATGACGCCTTCAATGGACGCGAGTCGATAGCAGTAGTCCTTCTTGATCGATGGAGAAGATTGTCGCTCTTGTATCGACCGAGTGAGACGTCAGAAGAGTGCTGCGATTGCCGAGTTGACTGGACACGAGCAAGTGGAGGAATCCTCTACTCACTCTGGTGATCCTTTTGACTTTTATCACCGTGAGGATGGAGCGACAGTGTGGTCTTAAGATGCAACGATCGCCTGTGAGCTCTCCAGATCAGCCTGCAGATAAGAAAACTAGAAGCAATGTTGATCAAATGCAGGCACGAGCAAAGAACTCCTGACTATTCAGTAGTAATAGCTACTGAATAGCAGTAGTAATAGCTACTGAATAGTCAGGAGTTCTTTGTTCGTACCTGCATTTGATCAACATTGCTTCTTAGTTTTCTTATCTGCAGGCTGATCTTGAGAGCTTCACAGGCGAACTCACTTTGCATTCATTGCTATAAAAACTCCACGAAAAGTGTTAAAGGCGTCAAACATATTTTGCAATTTAGCGCCCACATTATCCTACCTGAGCAGTTAGTCATTGCTCGTTTGACGCTGCCTCCATTGGCTACCACTCCAATTTTCCAAGAAACTTATCAAGCTTTCTCCTTTACTATCGAGTGGGATCATCCGAACATCAAACAAAGAAAAAGAATCGACCGGAAGATAGGCAATGGCGTACTCCTTTAATCCAGTATGCAGCGGTGGATCACTCTATTCAGAGCTTTGAAGATGACCCACTCCAACCACCTCGTGTACTGGCAACCTCGATGCTTTTCGAGAGACATCTGGAGGAATGGACCGCAGCTTTGAAAATGCTTTTAATTTGCTAAAATGGTAGCAATGATTCATCTCAAGAAAAGTCGCGAAAATTCGAAAATATCAAGTTGGTACATATCTCACAGCTCTAACAAGGGAGATATGTTTACAGACAATTCAGAGGCTTTTTCGAAAACGCACAACCAACCCGGTTTCTTGCGTGAGATAGGCAGGAACCACAGAGCCATGGTCCGTTTTCCTTGAATGGCCCTCTGAATACCAAAGAAGGGGGTCCCTAGTTCAATTTCTCGTGGTGACAAGTTCTGACGAATTTTTGCACTTTGAGTTGACGTTTCAAAATTTGCGCAAAATGGAAATAACATAAAAAAAAATTAGTACCGTATTCATTATAAGGACCGTAAGTAACCCTTACAATAGACTTTTAAGACTTCGGGATAAAAACTGGCCGGAAAGTTCGTGAGCATCACTAGAGGATTCGTTTTGTGTCGCACTTTTCCACCAGTATCATATACGTCAATTTTGTGAGGGTTTAACTAACTTCGTAATTATGAATATGGAATTCATTGCTCATGCTCACTCATCTTCCGCAAATTTTGAAATGTCAACTCGAAATGTAAAAATTTGTCATTACGAGGAATCGAACTGGGGCCTCCCTTTTTTGGTATTCAGAGCCGTGGAAAATGGACCATGGTTTAGTTGTTCCCGCATGTGCCTCATGCAAGAAACCATTTGAAAAAGCTTGGCACGCCTTGGAGACCTCCCTTGTAAGACCACATTAGCTCAAAACGCGACTCGACATCATCATGTTCTTTCTGGTTTTCATGAGTTTCTTTCATTGAACACCCTTAAATTCACCAGTGTAGTAGACCAGTGGGTGAAGCGTGCCTAGCACATACACAGAGCGTATTGATGGTAGATTATGGAATAGAAATTACTTATTAGTTTTATTTTGTTGACTACTGTTTTTAGCCGCAGTTCGCCTCGCGAATGTTTCACAACCCAGCATTCTTGTGAAGCTCTTATTAGTTTTTTTAGGTGACCGCTTTGAGCGTTGATAAATAGACGAAAACCTCCTAGTCATCGCCCTTGTGGTGTCAGTAGGATTTGTCGAGGAGGTTTAATGCTTCCAAGGTGACTGCTAAACCAAAACGATGTCTGGTTATGCATATAGCAGTATTATGTTTATACTGATGGTCTTCTCGATCTGGAGCATCATCCGAGACTGAAGGATTCTAGAGCTCCATACTGTCCAGTGGTACATCTTGAGCTAGCAGAGGTCCGAAAATGTGTTTTTATCCTGTGACACCCTACTCTTATGGCTTTTGCGGACTCGGTTTAGGGCAAGCCCCGGGAATCTAAGGATATGTTGTATAAGAGCGTCTCGTAGTGGTGACTGAGCCTCGAAGCGGAACGAAAGGGGAGAGGAATGCGAGGAAATCATCGGAAGCGGTATAGTCAAGTCCCAGCCTTCAGCATGATCGAGTTTGGTAACGGGACGTTGGAGACAAAATAGAATTTTGATGTTTCTAAGCCCTTGTCAGGTGAGCGCTAATACAAGGTAAATGCGCGTGACGGCAAAGCACACGATGAAAAGTGGATAGGGCGCATGAGAACGATTCCACGGTTCTCTGCGCCCTCCCAAGGGGATTCAAATGTTATGGTCTCAGGGCCTGCCCTTGCTCTTAGTTTACAAGACCAAAGTTCCGAATGGAATTTTATAGAAATGCTTCCAAATAAAAAGGCCGCGAACATTGTGAATAGTGGAAGTCCCTTTATCTATTCCTCTTAGCTTCACGACCATTGTTGTTTGTTCTTCTCAAATCGTTCAAGCATTCAGAGTAATATGAGCCTAGCCAACGACAGGTGCTGGATTTTTAGAACGTCAAAAGCGGGCTAACAAATCAATTTTTCATTTTGTGGCGCGAAAACTCTTAGCAGCTGAGGATCTGCAGTTGATACTTGTCCTGGCGTTGGCGGTAATCCCCTATTCCGCTACATATACATATAGGGTGGCCACAAATAACGGTAAAGATAAATAACGGTAAGTACGGCTTACAATTTCAAAATCATTTAAAAAATTGAAGAGTTTTGAATGCAGCTTCTGCGTATGCCTTTACTACCACGTTAACGACAGGCTGACGCGCATGCGCGTCAGCACTGTGTCGCTCATTTTTATTGTGCTTGCGCTCCTTCTTCTCGAGGTTTTTACATTCATTTTATAGCTAATACATTATCACCTGTATCACCTGTATCACCTGTCGTCCCGTTGATCATCGAATTGCTCGAGCGGGCGCCAGCAACGTCTCCATTCGTCCCTGTCGCGTGCAAGAGTTGTCCAGTGGACCCTCCTCGCTCGAGGGACACGAGTCCTTCATTCCTTTCGTTCAGAGCTTTCGTGAAGAAGTCTGACCATCGGGCCGGCGGTCGTCCAGGTGTTCGTTTGACGTCCCGAGGGATCCAGTCGGTAACCGCTCTGGTCCAACGGTCATCGCAAAATCGCATGACGTGTCCGGCCCACCTTATCTTCGATTCCTTGGCGAAAACGGCAGCGTCCCTGATCTTCGATCGTTGGCGTAGTTCGGAACTCCGGATTCCCCTCTGCACTTGCGTGTATAGGGTTACTCCTAGCATCGTCCTCTCGACAGCGCGTTGGATAACGCTGACCGCATGCTCGTCCTGCTGCGCAGAGTCCAAGTCTCTGAGGCGTAGGTTAGGGCAGGAAGGACAGCGGAATCGAAGAGGTGGGCACGGAGCCGGATGTTCTTCGTCTTCTTCACTACTCCCTCGATGTTCTTAACGCTCCCCAAGCCGCTCGTTTCCTCCTGCTCAGCTCTGGAGCTAGATCGTTCATCATATTGATTTCCCGACCTAGGTACACGTAGCTGGAGCATTCGGTGATGTTCGTTCCGTTGAGCGTGAATGGGGCATCAGGAACCAATCCGTTTCTCATAAACATCGTCTTCGTTAGGTTCAGCTGTAGACCAACCTTACCACAGGCGCAGTCGAAATCAGCCATTATAGAACGATGTCGTCAGCAAAACGAAGGTGGTGTAGTTGCCGGCCGTCGACCTTCACTCCCATGTCTTCCCATTCCAGTTGACGCATGACGTTCTCGAGAGCGGCGCTGAAGAGTTTGGGCGAGATGGTGTCGCCCTGTCGAACCCCTCTCTTGACGTCGATGATGACCTCCTTGTAGAATGGTGAGATTCTGGTCGTAAAGTTGCTGTAGAGCTCACGAAGAATCTTGATGTACTGAGTGAAACTTCAATGAGTCTTGTAACCGTGTGGATATGGTCGATCGTGCTGAACCCTCTTCGGAACCCTGCTTGCTCGCATGGCTGTCCTTCATCCAGTATTCTGCCGATCCTGTTAAGGATGACTCGAGTGAATAGCTTGTAGATTACAGACAGCAGGCAGATTGGGCGATAGTTGCCAATGTCGTCCAGGTCTCCCTTCTTGTACAGCAACACGGTCCTGCTGGTTTTCCACGGAGTGGGTACCTTGCATTCCGACAGGTAGCGCGTGAAGAGTCGAGCCAGAGTTTTGATGATAACTGGCGGTGCATTCTTCAGATGTTCCGGTTTAACCCTGTCGAGACCGGGTGCTGTACGATTCTTCACCGACTTGATGGCGTGTCGGACTTCGGAAGAGAGTATTGGTAGCTTCGCGAGCTCGGACGTGAGTTGGTGATTGCCTGCAGCTCGTGCGGCTCCACGTTGGCGTATCAGCTCGAGAGTTTCCGTAGACAGACGTCCTTTGGTGACTTGCAAACTCTCTGCCTTCCTGCCACTCTCGTGAAGGTGTTCAACGAGCCGATGATATTCCTCGTCGATGTTCTCGATAACGGAATCCTCCCATAAGCTGACAAGAGAAGTGAAGTGATCCCAGTTGATGACTGTCCTGGGGCTTCGCTTCCTGAACTTTGAGGCTCTCTCAACACGCATCGAAAAGTGGAACTTTGCGCGGAGGAGACGATGGTCCGATCCCGTGTAGAACTTCGGAACAACAGCGACGTCGGTCAGGCAAAACCTTCGATTGAAGATGATGTGGTCTATCTCGTTATGGAACTGTCCATCAGGTGACTCCCAAGTCCAACGAAGGTGAGAGGGCTTCTGGAACTGTGAGTTACCATGGATGGTGTTGGTCGACATGATAAACTCAGACAGTCTTTCGCCCTGCTCATTCCAATCCATTCCGTGAGTACCGATGTGAAGTTCTTCAGCCGTTCTTCTCGGGCCAATCTTGGCGTTGAAGTCGCCGACGATGACCTTGAAGAAGGTATGATCTTCCTTGTAGAACTTCTCCAATTCCATATAAAATGCTTCGTGTTCCTCCTCGTCGTAGCTCGATGTTGGTGCGTAGGCGACGAAGATTGTCAAAGCAGGAGTTGAACCACATCTTCTCAATCTCAAACGTCCGATTCGGGTCGTAAGGCTTTCGTACGAATCGATGTTTATGGCCAAGTGCGTGTTGACGAGGACACCCACACCGCCAACGCCTCTGCTGTCGCATGTTCCAAGGAACAGTTCTTCTCCAGTATCGAAAACGGCGTGTAGCGGGCGGTGCCTTCTCGTCTCGGTCAGTCCGATGACGTCGTACTTGATCTTCCTGGCCTGCATCATCAGGTCTTCGATGTGAGCTTCGGATGCAAGCGTTCGTGCGTTGAAAGTACAGATCGCCATCTTAGTCCTTCTTCGTTTAGGCAGCCTATCCGGGCCCTGAGATTCTAGCAGCCTCTCCCGAGCGGTCCTACCCAACGCTGCCGTATTGGGGGCTCCCTCAGGTTCAGGGGAATGAGGCCCATCCATATTGCTGTTTTCGGCATATTGAAGGCACACGAGTAGCTTGCCAGGCTCTGTCGTGTGGGCTAGGATAGACCTCCAGGTAGTTAGCCACGCTATCCTGGAGCGGAACAAGGGGCTTATTTTTTGGAGGCGGCCCCGAATCGCCTCCCATGTACTTCCCAGTCACTTGAATGCAAGCTTTTGGCTGTGCCGACATGCAGGATACCAACCGCACACACACAGAGCGCACCACACACGCAAGCATGGATGCGCCTGAGTGGAGACAGCTGGTATGAATCAACACAGCACTACAGAAACAGGGAGTCCATCCCCTGAATCCACCTGCGTCTCAGGGCAAGTACATGGTGGCTTTTGGTCCGCGATTTACCCCCTATCCGCCACCTGGGGTCGCGCCACCAACCGGCTCGAGATCTTTCAGTGAGAGAGGACCCTCAGTGAAAGAGATCCGTGGATAGTAAATAATTCGCTGACATAGCTATAAACCACATGGCAGCCAGAGTGGTCAAATATCCCTTGATTTAGCAAAATTTTCTGAACGCCCAAAACTTTCATTTCAATTCTTTCCTAGTATTCCTTTCACTGTCGTAAACATTCATATGAAAGATTGTAGAAGCAGTTAATACAAAACTCTGTGAGTTTCAAGATATTTGTATTTGATGGAAGAACTTAGGTATAAATGCTTTTAACTTCATTCGCAAGTGATGTTTTTTGCTTCTTCGTGGTCATTATGCGTTCTTCTAAACAAAAATCTACTGCCATTTATATAGTTAACCTTTATGCTTTCATCCTTGCCGAAATAATTCTATGAGATTCAAGTTGTGCATTTTAAACAAAAAATAAGCGGAAGTAAGGTGAGGACGGCCGCTCCCACGCGGTGCAAAATGCCAAAACACGCGATGTCGTCAACGTGTTAATAAGATGTTTGTCCCTCAATCATACCAAGATGTATTTCGTTTGGATTGTTTGGGCTTTCAGTTCTCAATGGAATAATGACTCGCTTCCTTCGTCAAGGTGCCTGGTGATGTTGCTTTGCGATGCAAATCAGAATCTTGAAAAAGCCTGCACAACAACCAACAAACACAACAAACTTTGCGAAGATCAATTGACCAGGTGCTATGAAAGGTTTCTGTTGGTACGAGAGCAATATGGAGAAAGTAGGCGTGAAGCCGCGCTAAAGCGGCATAAAACAACTCGTTCGTCTTCCGTGTTAGCGATCTGGTGCACTTCTTCGCAAGTAATCGCAGAAGACATCCCATGGCTAAAGAACGTATGTGTGGCTCAGCTCTACAATGAGGCGAGTAAAGTGAAAAGGATAATGGAGCTGGAAGGAGGCGCTGTCTCAATTCAGTAATGCCAACCTACTGATGAGGAAGCACTCTTAGTCGACACAGTCTTGAATAGATAGAGCGACAAAAACTGCATTTCAATCAAGCCAAATACCCCAAATATCTAGCCAATACCTCAGGCATCACAGAGTTTGGAAACAGTGAATGTTTAAGCAGTGATCAAATCAAAACTCACGTCACTTTTGACTTTTATTGAATTAAGTATAAAGATGGAAGGAGAGGATTATCTTGAGCTTCTTCTCATATAATTTCTTTAACCAAAGGAAGTAATAACAACCTTATTGAACATTTCAGTAGAACCCGACACACACAATATCTTTGAGCTGGGCTCTTGCCACTTGCCGCCCAAAGATTGTTGCGTTTGGAAAGTGACCCCTACTGGATCGCGCTGCACTAAAAGTGTGAAGACGAACACTTGATACTGACATCATAGAGACATTAATGGATTCAAGAAACCGCTTCATAATGTTTCGAACGCATTGGAGGCCGTCTATTGACACGCAGCGGTCCGTTCCTGGAAGACTACTCCTTTCTCCGAGCGCATATTGGCTACTCGGAAGGGCTATGTGGTTTTTCGTTCAATAATCTTTAGTGAACATGGTTTTATTTTCCTTTTTTTCTAGAGGTACAGGTTTGCATGACCGCTTTATCTTGTTACCGTAATTCATGGCCACCTTGTATTTGGATTCAAAGCAACCAAAAGCCGATTCTCTGTTTATAGATGTTTTTTGATGGTTGAATTGGTGCTACTTGTAGCGCCTTGAATCTAGGAGGAGAAAGGTAGAATTGAAAAAATTCATTTCGATCATGCGCCGTCGTAGATACCTTAATTCAACCAATCCTGTACGTCGTTTCACGGGTCGCAACAGATTGCTGACGTCGACTCACGAGGAGTTTCGTAAATAAAATGCCAACGATAGAACTTTATGTATTTCCCCCATCTGGATTGAGTTAATATTTCTCAGCATTTTCTCAGTAAATGATCGAAGGTAATTTTTACAGGTATCGCTGATGTGGCATCTCTCTTTTCATGTGGTTTCATTCGACTGAACCGTGAGCTCAGTCTTGGTGCAGAGTATAAGCAAATCGTTTTGGTCTCTTTAATGATTTGTAGTGCTGCGTTCACGGCTCACATGATCGGGAATATGCTAATCGCAGTCAACCGATATTCTGCGGTCTTCCTCATGCAGAGATACGATACGGTAACTCAACGTTTGGAGCTTGCTTGTTCTATCATATGAAGCTGTACATGTGTATCAAAGGCTCCCACCATAAAGACGGAGTTCGAGGAAGCAAAATGTACCAAATGGAGGTAGCCGAGCTCTTTGAATGGGCTGGACGACGCGCGTTTTATAGAAGGGTCTGCCTAGAGCGGCCCATCAGGGCCTCGCCATGCCCCATCCACTAACGCCGGGTAACAAGAACGGATTGCATGCTGCTACTGTTACCGCCACTCTTTGTTATGCATTTCGGAAGAGCGTTTCACAATTCAATTTGAAGCGGCCACCTTTTATTTCTCAGATGCAAACAAAGGATGATTAATAGAATGATTCCTGCTATCGTGAAAGGCACGTGTGAGAGTCTCACTTTAGTCGCTGGCCTCGTGCGAAGCGGTAATCAACGGGCAAGGAGAAGTGTTAGATCTCTTGCCCATGCCTATCTGATGTCTATCAAAAACCTGAGCGAAAATAAGTCCAAGACTTCATATCAACTGTTTTCAGATATGGTCCCGAAGAAATGTGTTTATCCTCATAGTAGTCCAGTACGGTGTGGCTTTTGTCGCTTGTATACATCTTGCAGGTGCAGAGATGGTTTACACCACGAATACCCAAGGAATATCAACTTACAAGGGGGTGGATAAACACGCCGATCTGGTCAGTGGTTACACAAGCGTTTCGGATAAAAACGTGTCATCACTAAAACAGCAAAATATGAAATAACATCTTGGACAAATTTTTTTACAAGTTTCTAAGGCTTGCTAGTCAGAATTTCTTTCTTTTGTTCCCCTCTCCACCCAGAAGAAAAGTCGCAGGAGGCTCACACCTAAAGATCCAGAATTTGCAGCACCTCAATCTCACCTCAATTATACCACTGCAACGTTTTCGAGTACGGGTAAGCGCAACGCCACACTGGGAACTTGACGGAGTCACAGATGAGCATGACTTCAGAAAAACCGTTACAATGGCCTATTTATTAAGCTCAGAAAGCGTGAGCAAATGTACAATCAATTAGAACAAGCAGTGACTTATCTTATTACTTACCTTTTTTCGTGTATTTCTTTTCTTTTGTCAAAAAGTGTAAAAGATGAGCTGCAGCCTATCTTTTTGTGCTCTTGTGCTTTGTGCAAATAGAAGTAAAATGTGTGCCGCACTTCGGAAATTTTAGAGATTGATCAAATGCTTGATAGTTTATCCTTTATCTGTCAAGCGATAGCGATTGATAGCATTGGCCTAAATCCAACCTTATTTCCCTCGAGCCTCGATCACTTAGAATGAGGTGCTTGGGCCCAGTGCGAAAACAGCAGTAGCCGTAAGTATCCAACAATAACTTCGCTAGTACGTGGCAAGGCTATGAAGATTATCATCACATGATAAAGGGATTCCAATGCTGTGAAGCACCGCTGAGAATGATGGACACCTGCGTCAACTTCCACGAAAAATGTTAAGGTGCTACGAGACATGGTTTGCTAACAAACGTAGTCAAGAAGCAAGAAAAAAGCTATTCCTCGAGATGTCATATCGCTGAGGAAAGTTATCACTTCTGATTAGTCGCTGCCGAAAAGCCTCATCCCATGCTCCTAAGACGTTTTCCGGTCGGGTTAACTCAATTTCCGATCGTAAAAATGATACAGGAGTGTGCCTAGGGACAGCGGAAGTTGACTATAGAAGTAGAATCCGTGATTTTTACGAAGAGGCAACAAAATCATGGTTCGGTGTGCGATCAACCATGAAGTCGTGTCCCAACAGCTTTTCATCAGAGAGGATATTCCAACTAAAGCAGTGGTGAAATTGGAAGATGTGCTGTGCTATCACCTCACTTCGAAAAATCCCTCAATGTATCCACGACGCCAGTGTATCAGCATGGTGCAGCACTAGTTAGTTGATAGATCGCAGCACACGAAAACACCGGCCCTCATCTCAAAAGAATTACGATTACAATAAATCAAAAGTACTCACTTCATCATCCGAATATTTCGTGCTGAGCATTTTAGAGGGCAACGCCTGCTCGTAACAACACCACCCAGCCGCAGCCCAGATAACAAACCTGCACTGAGTTTAGGAAGAAACTTTGGAGCACCAAAGCTCCACAGTGAACGACCTTATACCTCAAGGCCAAAGCTCGGTTTGAAGGAGACACTTTGAGATGTGAGGCCGGGTTTAATAATATGTAGCATTTTATATGTGAGTCTCTACCAGAAAACGGGCCCTGAATCGATTGTTTTACAGTTCTCACAGGGGTGAAAATTCGAGAAAGTAATTTTGGCACACTCTGTAGGTGAGCGATTAGGCAGTGGTGGGCTTAGTGAGCCCTCACGAGACATGGCCATCGTAAAAAAAACTTGATTTGTACTTTTAGGAAGGAATGATGGGTCTAACGAGGAAAGGTCACCAGGCCGGTCCGGCCATTTGCAATGAGGTGTATACCTACGCATTCGTCTTGAGACGATAAGCTAGAAACCGCTTTTCTTATCTGCTAAACGGTGCTCTGAACGGAGTTACGGAAGTTTTCGGAGTTACGGAAGTTTTCCCCTCAACACTGTACTTAAACGCAGTATATGAGCGCTATCATTGGAGTCGCCACTATAAGCCAAGCGGGAAGGAGCACGTCGTGGTTGACGTGGCGTAAGTGGTAACGCTCCAGGCTTGTAGGCGAGAGGTCATGGGATCGGTCTCTCGTGGTGTTTGTTGTTTTGCCTTTTTGAAAACATGACCAGAAAGGCTTTTAGCGACAGTATCTCCTCAATTCCTGCCTTTACCTGCCTGTGTAAGGAGTTAGGGAGCACCTCTGCGCAGGTTGAAGCTATTTTTAATTAATATTTGCCATGACTGAAAACGACGCTCATAGCCCACTGATAAGGTTAGACAAGGTGTTCTCGCGGTAATCGAGTATGATATTCT